ACCACCCAGCAGGAAAGGACCCCTCCCTGGCCAGCTCTTCTATCAGCCAGGCCAGTTCCATCCCACCTTATCTGCAGCCTAACCAGTTTCTCTTTCCTACCAGCCCTGTGAAACTATCAAAACAAGTCAATCACATCCTCCCTTGGGAACCAAGGGTCACCTAACCCTCTTGTCACTACAAAGCCTGCCTCTCACAGCCCTGCTGGCTCACTCTGCTCCTGAGTGGAACCCTTGTGTGGCTCTGCACAACACGCGGTATCCTCCTCCCTTGGGCTGAGTGTGTGTGTCTCATCTGCCCATCATGCGTTTGATCATCTCCTATTTAATTGGAGAGTGGAATGCTCCTTCATCAATGGGGTAAGTAGGAGGCGGTTAGAACAAGAATAGCCTCAATACAAGTGCTTCCATTCAGCTATTTCTCCCCTAGAATCCGGACTTTTGCCTTGCCCTACCTTCTCTCTCTCTCTCCCAAATACTACCCTATTAAAGGGAGCCAAATTGGAGGTTAGCCCCCGCTGACCCTAGTAACAAATTTCTGCCGCCAAGTGATCAGAAGGAAATTGAGGGATCCAACCTCTGATGTCTCCTCAGGTCAAGAGAGCAACGGCTTAGAAAACTGCCTGCAGGAGAAAACTCATAGCAAATTACAACATTGTATACAATACTTAAAACCAGAAGCCAAGCTGAAATGTACACAGAAGTCAGCAGGAAACTGATCAACAAACACAGCTTCAAGGAAACTCTTTCTAAAAATATATATCTACTGCTAATGTACATTTCCAATTTGAAAAAACTCATCTTCTAATCACCAGTGCATGTCTCTCAGTGATTTTTGAAATATTTTAGATGCACTTGTCATTATCTCGTGGTAATTATGCCTCAAGGCAAAGACAATATAACTATTTCGCAAAAAGTGTTAAATAAATAAACTGTTCCTGTGTGGAAATTTCAAAAGTATTTCATACTGTATTTAATTTTACAGGTTTTGTGTTTACAATTTCTAATGAAAGACATTTTATTTCTTTCAGAGAATTTACTGAGAAATAAAAATATTAGTTGCTTTCTACATGAGAATGAAAGAATTAGAAAGACATTAAGAAAGGAACTCAGGAACACTCAATGAAACTAAATTTCTTTAAATAATTTTCTTCTAGCCCATATTTAAGAATGTGAAAACAGTGTTTTTCAATGTTGGAATATACATTACATGTGTAAATTACAGTACATTATAATGGAAATGAATACAGTGCAGATTTCTCTCATTTGCAGACATAGATTTTGCACCAACTGATACGACCCCAACTATTTTTGGTTTCCAAATAGAGTAAAATTCAATTTCACCATTAATTATGCCAGTATTTTAAGGAAAGATAATTGCATTAACAAATATATTCAGTGGTTATCTACCTGGAATACATAATATTCCTCTTTAAATGTTTTTTCAGAAATTAAACTAGGCAAAAATATATATGTATTTCTATACCTGTTTGTTGCTGGTTGTTTAATGTGAGAACTAGGGCCAAAGAAAGTTTATCTGCTAGACTATAAACCTTGTCAGGTGAGCCTGCCACACCCACCTCTACCTTCTGAACTGGGAGGAACTACATTTTGTGTGCATCAGTAACTTTACTGAATGCATCTGGCACCCATGAGTTTGACATTCTTGTGTGCTCTGTATTATCTTTATCAGA